CTGTTTGTGGTCATGAGGTAGTGTCACTTAATGCAGGAGGCACTGTCTGTGGTCATAAGATGGTGTCACTTAATGCAGGAGGCACTGTTTGTGGTCATGAGGTAGTGTCACCTAATGCAGGAGGCACTGTTTGTGTCATGAGGTAGTGTCACTTAATGCAGGAGGCACTGTTTGTGGTCATGAGATAGTGTCACTTAATGCAGGAGGCACTGTTTGTGGTCATGAGATAGTGTCACTTAATGCAGGAGGCACTGTTTGTGGTCATGAGGTAGTGTCACCTAATGCAGGAGGCACTGTTTGTGGTCATGAGGTAGTGTCACTTAATGCAGGAGGCACTGTTTGTGGTCATGAGGTAGTGTCACTTAATGCAGGAGGCACTGTCTGTGGTCATGAGATAGTGTCACTTAATGCAGGAGGCACTGTCTATGTCATGAGGTAGTGTCACTTAATGCAGGAGTCACTGTTTGTGGTCATGAGGTAGTGTCACTTAATGCAGGAGGCACTGTTTGTGGTCATGAGGTAGTGTCACTTAATGCAGGAGGCACTGTTTGTGGTCATGAGGTAGTGTCACTTAATGCAGGAGGCACTCTTTGTGGTCATGAGATAGTGTCACTTAATGCAGGAGGCACTGTCTGTGTCATGAGGTAGTGTCACTTAATGCAGGAGGCACTGTCTGTGTCATGAGGTAGTGTCACTTAATGCAGGAGGCACTGTCTGTGTCATGAGGTAGTGTCACCTAATGGAGGAGGCACTGTCTGTGTCATATGATAGTGTCACTTAATGCAGGAGGCACTGTTTGTGGTCATGAGATAGTGTCACTTAGTGCAGGAGGCACTGTTTGTGATCATGAGATAGTGTCACTTAATGCAGGAGGCACTGTTTGTGGTCATGAGGTAGTGTCGCCTAATGCAGGGCGCACTGTTTGTGGTCATGAGGTAGTGTCACTTAATTCAGGAGGCACTGTTTGTGGGCATGAGGTAGTGTCACTTAATGCAGGAGGCACTGTTTGTGGTCATGAGGTAGTGTCACTTAATGCAGGAGGCACTGTCTGTGTCATGAGGTAGTGTCACTTAATGCAGGAGGTACTGTCTGTCATGAGGTAGTGTCACTTAATGCAGGAGGCACTGTCTGTGTCATGAGGTAGTGTCACTTAATGCAGGAGGCACTGTCTGTGTCATGAGGTAGTGTCACCTAATGCAGGAGGCACTGTTTGTGGTCATGAGAAAGTGTCACTTAATGCAGGAGGCACTGTTTGTGTCATGAGGTAGTGTCACTTAATGCAGGAGGCACTGTTTGTGGTCATGAGGTAGTGTCGCTTAATGCAGGAGGCACTGTTTGTGGTCATGAGGTAGTGTCACTTAATGCAGGAGGCACTGTCTGTGGTCATGAGATAGTGTCACTTAATGCAGGAGGCACTGTTTGTGGTCATGAGGTAGTGTCACTTAATGCAGGAGGCACTGTTTGTGGTCATGAGATAGTGTCACTTAATGCAGGAGGCACTGTCTATGTCATGAGGTAGTGTCACTTAATGCAGGAGTCACTGTTTGTGGTCATGAGGTAGTGTCACTTAATGCAGGAGGCACTGTTTGTGGTCATGAGGTAGTGTCACTTAATGCAGGAGGCACTGTTTGTGGTCATGAGGTAGTGTCACTTAATGCAGGAGGCACTGTTTGTGGTCATGAGATAGTGTCACTTAATGCAGGAGGCACTGTCTGTGTCATGAGGTAGTGTCACTTAATGCAGGAGGCACTGTCTGTGTCATGAGGTAGTGTCACTTAATGCAGGAGGCACTGTCTGTGTCATGAGGTAGTGTCACCTAATGGAGGAGGCACTGTCTGTGTCATATGATAGTGTCACTTAATGCAGGAGGCACTGTTTGTGGTCATGAGATAGTGTCACTTAGTGCAGGAGGCACTGTTTGTGATCATGAGATAGTGTCACTTAATGCAGGAGGCACTGTTTGTGGTCATGAGGTAGTGTCGCCTAATGCAGGGCGCACTGTTTGTGGTCATGAGGTAGTGTCACTTAATTCAGGAGGCACTGTTTGTGGGCATGAGGTAGTGTCACTTAATGCAGGAGGCACTGTTTGTGGTCATGAGGTAGTGTCACTTAATGCAGGAGGCACTGTCTGTGTCATGAGGTAGTGTCACTTAAAGCAGGAGGTACTGTCTGTCATGAGGTAGTGTCACTTAATGCAGGAGGCACTGTCTGTGTCATGAGGTAGTGTCACTTAATGCAGGAGGCACTGTCTGTGTCATGAGGTAGTGTCACTTAATGCAGGAGGCACTGTCTGTGTCATGAGGTAGTGTCACTTAATGCAGGAGGCACTGTCTGTGTCATGAGGTAGTGTCACCTAATGCAGGAGGCACTGTCTGTGTCATAAGATAGTGTCACTTAATGCAGGAGGCACTGTTTGTGGTCATGAGATAGTGTCACTTAGTGCAGGAGGCACTGTTTGTGATCATGAGATAGTGTCACTTAATGCAGGAGGCACTGTTTGTGGTCATGAGGTAGTGTCACCTAATGCAGGAGGCACTGTTTGTGGTCATGAGGGAGTGTCACTTAATTCAGGAGGCACTGTTTGTGGTCATGAGGTAGTGTCACTTAATGCAGGAGGCACTGTTTGTGGTCATGAGGTAGTGTCACTTAATGCAGGAGGCACTGTCTGTGTCACGAGGTAGTGTCACTTAATGCAGGAGGTACTGTCTGTCATGAGGTAGTGTCACTTAATGCAAGAGGCACTGTTTGTGATCATGAGGTAGTGTCACTTAATGCAGGAAGCACTGTTTGTGGTCATGAGGTAGTGTCACTTAATGCAGGAGGCATTGTTTGTGGTCATGAGGTTGTGTCACGTGTGCGAAGTGATGTCTATCTATGCAGCTTACTGTCAGAGTTTAACTTCTAAATATATCAATATTATAACAAATAATATAGATCGGACATGTTTGTCTGTGCAATGTTTTCTAATGTTTCTGTTAATAAATGCAAGGGAATTTATAGAGATACATGTTTAAAAGCCAATATGTAAAACTGGCAGATTGGTACATTAACTATTATATAATAATATAATGACAGTCACATTCCTCTTGGTTGAGGAACCACACTGGCATGAACAAAACATTAAGCTGTGTTTAACAGTGTACAGCAAAAATGTCTTATTATATACAAGCTGTGACACTTTAATAATTTAAAGAAGACATTTAATGAGACCTTCGGCAATGTTGATGTTAATGTTTTAGAATAGACAAAATTGTTAGCAAAATCATGTGTGATGTGTAATCAGTTATGTATTTAATTAACATTATACCATATGCCACATAGTACACTTAAACATGGATTACAAATGTAACAATGTAGTGACAACCATATTCAGCAACTCTCTTGATGGGAGGCTTCACTGATAGTTAGTTTTATCATATCCGACTCTATAACATCCTTTGGCAATGAGTAAAATGCCCGTGTCCTTATCCCGGGTGTGGATAACAGAATAGCCCTTGCTTGCCGCTTGAAGTAGAATCAAGAAACATCACGATTAAGAATTTAAAAGGATAGCTGCGTGTTTCCTAATACTTAAAACAAGCCTTTCCTATGATAAAGAATATAACTTGCGTTAATGAGGGGTGGTTTGGTAGCTTAGTGGTCAAAGCGTTGGCTCGTCGCGCCGAAGACCCGGGTTCGATTCCCCAACATGGGTACAATGTGAAGCCCATTTTCCGGTGTCCCCCGCCGTGATATTGCTGAAAGTAGCGTAAAACCTTACGCGTAAAACGTTAATGAGGAACATTGCAAAATGTCCATTGCTAAAGTATCTATTTTGCTAACGATAAACATCATCATTGAGTTTAAAACGAGTGGGACCGCCTCCGTGGTCTAATGGTAGAACGTCCGCCCGGAGAGCTGAAGGTCCAGGGTTCGATCCCTGGCCGCGTCATACCAAAAGAATTTAAACGATACTTGTTGTTACCCTGTCTGACGCTCGGCATTAAGGGGCTGGTCGGCTCGGAGTCAGTATACTGTGTCTGATTGGGTTATCCATGTTCAGTCAGGACAAGCAGCCACACACACACACACACACACACACACACACACACACACACACACACACACACACACACACACACACACACACACACACACACACACGTGCATACACGTCGTTATATAAGTGCAATAATCTTGGACGTGACGTTAAACCCCATTTCACCTCACCTTAATCAAGTGGTTACAATCGGGATAGGGATTCGCAGTCAGGTGACTGCGCGCAGTTAATTAAATCAGTGCGTGCATCTCGGAGCAGTGGATAGGACTTCAGAAGGATTTACAGACACATAGTACATTGTCCGGAGATAGAATTGGTCACATTATTTTTGGTTATGTCTGTTCCTCTAGGGCAGGACATGCTGACCATTTTCGCCAACACCTGATGTAATCGTTGATTTTCGGACCGCCTCCGTGGTCTAGTGGTAGAGCGTCCGCCCGGAGAGAGGAAGGTCCGGGGTTCGATCCCCAGTCGCGTCATACCAAAAGACGTTAAAAGATGGTACTTGTTGTTACCCTGTCTGGCGCTCGGCATTAAGGGGCTAAAACAAGGACTAGTCGGCTCGGAGTTAGTATACTGTGTCTGAATGGGGTATTCATGTTAAACTGCAGCATGGTATCTCAGTGTGCTAGCACTATACATCGGCATCAGTCCGGACTAGTACAAGCAGCCACACACACACACACGTGCATGCACGTCGCTATATAAGTGCAATAATCTTGGACGCGACGTTACACCCCATTTCACCTGACCTCACCTCGTTGATTTTCAGTGATGTACTCATATAATTTTCACTGCGATTGTGTTTTTTACGCCCAATGGAATCTGTTTAATTTCGGCTCTGGCGTTTATGTTTTATAGTTTCTTATTGTACAACTATAAGCTTTATTTAAACTGATTCTCCGTTGTGATGTTTTGAATAGATTCTGAAATACGTCGCGACATACATTATCTTTTGCAGATATGGCATTTGATTGCGGGGTATTTCAAAAGTTAAAGCGAGCAAGAAGCGCCCAAGAGCCTAAACATCTAGAAGGAAACACCATGACAACGGCCAACGATGACGTTACCAAATCAGTGACATCAGAGCTGACGTTTAGACCAACGTCAGAAAACAGAGTTTCCAAGTTTTGCCGCAGCCCTGACTGGTCAGAATTTGAGGGCATGTTTGCAACAGGTAAATATATAGCAAAGCTCTAAAAGTGACGTCACAGTGTAATCACACACACAGTGACATACTTGTCTGTCTCGTCACAATGCTTGGACGTTCTGCATTCCATTATGACGTCATAAATATGGTGGTGTGTATTTTGGAACTTATCTTTGCAAGGGTCGATCCATTTTCTCTAGGGATGACAGTTTCAATAATGGATATCTGCCAGGTGATTTGCTGTGACTTATTGCAATGGCTCAAGTCTTGTGGTGAAACTTTTGATTTGGGTATCTGAATTCAAACATATATGCGTTTTAAACCCAAACATCACTGATTCCTAAATTCGTCAATTCATACTACAGAAAGTATTAAACTCACCTGATGGCTTATTAATCATCACTTGCGCTATTACCAAAGAAGTCGTCATTGCGTCCATGTAAAATTGAGAGAAAATAACTGTGTTTTCAATTTAGAGAAACCTGTGAAAAAAATCAAATTCAAAACCTCACGATATCGCGTTTGGTTTCAATGAGTTTACGGGTTCTGGCAATATTTCTAAGGCGGTTACCAGATGATAATGGGTTGTAAAGCATCACGTACATCGTCTGTATAGATACGTTTGCCGTTTAGTATTCAGCACAACCGCATATATGCGGTATGTTATTACATTCCATATATTATTCCATTGAGCTAAATCTGTTAAATACAAATTAACTTGGTTTATTGTCTCATCTGAAAACAAATTAAATTACACATAAATAATACTGAAGAAAATACTATGTGCCAACGAAGAGAACTCAACCAGTTATTTAAGCTGAAACGTATTGGGCAGATTATAAGCAGTTCTTTGATTATTTTTCTTTTGACTTTAGAACCCCTTGACAGGTTGATCTACTGAAATAAGGCTAAAGGGAGCAGAAAAGCCGAGGTTTCAAACTTTTTGAAAATATATTTTATCGCTTCTCAAAAAAATCAGATTACGTCAAAAACATGTTCAGGAAATATAAACATTGTAAGGCGAACCTAACTGACTTACCTTTACATTTGAAACCCTCGAATATCCATTTGGTTAGAAAGTTAGATTAGATTACATACAGGATGACAGTATTACAGGATGGCGCAAATGTTAATTGGTTTCCATACAATCATTTTTGCAAAAGCTATTAGAAACTTTTAAAAGTGCAAACATGATGTTTTAACGATTTATCTTCAGTTATCATATTACATGTTTGATATTAAGGTCTTTGATCCTAAAATAACATCAATAATAGGACAGCCTATACCTGACAACAGATTTCCTCAAGTCTGGCGGTTCGGAGAAGATGTGTCACTTCCTTCACGAGATAGCTGACGTCCTGCAGCAGTATCTGGTGAAGCAGAAAGACAGGGGAGGGAAGGTCCTTGACTTTCACCACCCTCATCAACTCCGCGAGATGATGGCGCACTGTCTCGATATTCACGAGAGTCCACGAGATCTGGAGCAGATACTTAGCGACTGCAAAGAGACCCTAAAGTACTGCGTGAAATCTGGTGCGTAGGAGAGCTTTATTTTGTCTTCAAATAAATTAAGCGAGTCCAAAACATGGCGCCTGACGAGACGCTCTTACCTGTTGTTGAGCTCGTTCACCTCTCAGATGTGACAGACAAACGACCTTGAACGTGTCTGTGATGTTGACGTTGAAAGTTCTCTTTTTTATAGAAGTGAATAAAGACGATATTAGCAGAATTCAACTCAATTACTCACGTTAAGATACAAATTGTGATGATGCCATTCCACCAATTCCATGAAAAAGAGATATATCTCTGCGTGAAGATCTTACGACACCTGGGGACACTGGTGGCCCAGTCGTCTAGGGCGCCGCGATTCGCTGTGCAGAGTTGCGTCCCTTGGGCACGCCAGAAACCTATGATTGTGGGTTCGAATCCCGGTTCGCCCCGATTATGTTTCTAGGTTTGTCAGCACCATACCCGTGCTCGTGGGTTTCACCGAAGTGGTAAACGTCTGAGACCTGCATCACTTCGGGATTTCCTCCCACATTAAGCTGACACGCCGTGATATAACTGGAATATTGTTAAAAGCGGCGTTAAACCCAACTCACTCACTCACTCTTACGACACCTTCATAGAACTTGCATAGAACCACCAATTCCACGATTCGACCTCATTTTGTTACCACCCCGATTCGGAAATTTTGATTTGTACAAATGAAAAACTACTCTGAAGACTGAATATTCCTTCCCTTGTATTCCTTTTGACTTGAGATGTCATGGCGCTCAGAAACGACAGGGTGTAGAAATATCCACAACAAAATAATGTCGCCGCCTTGTGATTTTACTTTTGGAACATCATCGTTTCTGTTCGCTTTTCGAAATAGAGTGAGTGAGTATGGTTTTACGCCGCTTTTAGCAATATTCCAGCAATATCACGGCGGGGGACACCAGAAATGGGCTTCACACATTGTACCCATGTCGGGAATCGAACCCGGGTCTTCGGCGTGACGAGCGAACGCTTTAACCACAAGGCTACCCGACCGCCCCTTTTCGAAATAGAGAAATCAGACATGCTTGTTTTAATGCTTCATTCACTCGTACCGAGAATTTACAAGACTCCACGCTGATTAGCGAATAGAAGTTCAATATAGAAGTCCCCAATGGAGTTGCTCCCAGCGCTTCACACAGAAGGGTATCGGAGTAAAGGATCTGATTTTAAAGTGATTGGCATTCCACAAGTATGTACATTTTGACAGCAATGCTAAGTCTCAAGACTAATGTCTATGAATACCCTATTCACTGTGCGGAGTGTACGCAGAGTTTATAGCTCCAGTTCTTCCAAAGATAACCTGACCATACCAGAGACACATGTGTGAGGATCCGGGGTCTTCAGCAACCCATGCTTGCCGTAAAAGGCGACTATGCTTGCCCTAAGAGGCGACTAACGGGATCGGGTGGTCAGGTTCGCTGACTTTGCTGATGCATGTCATCGTATCCCAATTGCGTGGATCGATGCTTATAAAGTCAATCACTGGATTGTCTGGTCCAGACTCGATTATGTACAGACCGTTTTCATGTAGCTGGAATATTGCCGAATGCGGTGTTAAGCAACAAACAAACAAACACAGCATTCCAATTATATAAACACGTGTAATGCAATATATGTCAAGATTTCATCCATGTTCACACTTCAGTTGTAGCCGACAGTAAGACGAGTGATAAATTGCAGAATTTCTTTGCATGAAAAAATATTGTTCTTCTTGTCCCATGGGTTAATCGAAAGCATGTTACGTTGTGTAATCGCCCTGTGTTGACGTTTAAGACAGCAGAACGAAGTCACTATTTACAAAAATCAATCCAGGGTATTTTCTTGCAGGTCATCCCCGGTTTCTAAATCAGCTTGGAACTGGAGTGGATGTTATTGGCGTCGCCGGGGAGTGGCTCGCTGCCACAGCTAACAGTAACATGTGAGTACCACCAGGACTGTCACGTTACAGCCCCGTGAGGAGCCCGGGGTAGGAAATGGCGGGTTTGCGTGTCATCGTACCCCGACGGCGTGGAGCGTTCATAGTAACATCAGTTGCTGGATTGCCTGGTCCAGATTCGATAAACAACAGTCCGCCTTCATATAGCTGGAATATTGCTCTGCGGCATAAAACAAAACACCTGTTCTTTCCAAAGTGATAATTATCTTTCTTTGTTTGAAACTGAAATGGAATAACTAGTACTAAGTGTTGACTACCTTGTCTTATATCAAATAAACAATTAAAAAAAATGTTGAACTCGGTAAGTTGTTTTCTAATACACGACATGAGAAAGAGCAATACGACCTTCAAGAAGTATGACTATGTTTTAAGGTTTACGTATGAGGTTGCTCCTGTGTTTACGCTTATGGAGGAAATAATACTGCAGCGCATGCGCAGTCTTGTTGGATGGGAAGAAGGGGACGGAATATTCGCTCCCGGTGAGTAGCGGCCATTTCTTGCCATCCAGTATAAGACTCGATACATATTTAAATGTTGATCAGCTTCAGCTAAATCTTATGAAACAATTATTTCAAATAATTTAATAACTTCGATCTTTTCTTATGTATGACTGTGTCATGTCATAATCTCAAGATATATTAAAAATCAAGACTCGAAATCTTGAAAACCGAAATCTTGGTAATAATCTTGGATCGATTGTTTTCGAGAGCTATATGACATTAACGGTCTCAACCTTCCTTGTTATATCTTTCCCATTAAGGTTCAAAATGCCATCAATTGTAGAAAGGTGATCGCACCAAACAATATTTTCCAGTGTATAGTTTTCTGTAACTCACACAAGCTATCGATATTTGCAGTTTAACTTCATTCTTCATAAGTCACAATATATCATGCCACTATTATCTTGTAAATACATTATCATGCATATCTTCCGTTAGGCGGAGCTGTGTCCAACTTCTATGGAGTTCTTCTGGCGAGACACCAGATGTACCCGGAAGTGAAGAAAGATGGGATGATTGGCATTGCTCAGCCGGTCATGTTTGTGTCTGAACAGGTGACTTTCAGTGAGATTTCTTCTGATTTTGGAAAGGGTTTGTGGCTTTTATTGACATGTTGCTTTTGTTGTCTGTCGTGAGGGTCAGATGACTATAGTTTGTCATGTGTGTCGCATACACGTTTAGATATCTATCAAGGAGAAATCAACTAACACGCCATCCTGATGTCCTTTCAATTACACTGACCCGATACGAGGCCATAGCAACACATGACAATAAAGACTTAATGACATATAGCTCCAGGTGTTTCCTACTGTTCCCCCACAGCCCTATAATAGGTCACTTTGAAGGCATTTGATTCGAAAATAAACAAAGTATTAACCCTGAACATATTTAACACTGGGCTATGTGATATCTGGTAGAGATAAATACGTAATGTTTGTTTAACCGAGGACCTGAGCTCATATCATGTCTACATCACTAAAATGCACCAAGTGACTATTGATAAACTAAATAAGATGCTATATAGATTTATTTCGAGTGATAAACGAGCAATAAAAAGTGCAAACTTAATAAGAAAATATGAAGAGGGTGGTATTCGAATGATTGATATAACGTCTTTTATGGAGTCATTTCAATTATGTTTAAAACCAATCAATGTCAGAAATAATTATTTTCTTAGAAAAAAATGGTTTAATAAGGGTATTCATTGTGCTGAAGATATATGTAATAAAGGGTTTTTTACCATTTGTAGAATTAAATGACAAAAGTTGATTACAGTAGAATGCTGTTAAATATTCCTAAATCATGAAAGGAAATAGTGAATACAGTAAAGTACGTTTATAACGAACACGCTTATAACGAACTGATCGATATAACGAACTTATTTTTTAGTCCCGGCCATTTGTTGCATATATGTTTATAACGAACTACGGTTATTACGAACTAAAATCAGTAGTCCCTTTGAGTTCGTTATAACTGTAGTTTATTGTTATAAAAAGTTGAATACTTAAGTATTTATTAAAAACGGTGTAACTTGCTGTCTTGTACAAAAGATTTAAGAATGTTTTATGATAAGATAATAGCTACAGCAAACACCAACATCTTTATGAAAAATGGCAAAATGATTTGGAATTAAATATATTAGGAAAACCTGTATTCTCCAACTGTAGAAATAGCATTGGGGATGCTAAGCTATTAGAACTTAGTAGAGTGGAGTTGTATATACGAAAAAAGAATTATCGAAGATGACAAGTGCTCCGTTTGTGTATCTGACGCAGAAAGAATTTAGTTGAAAATTTAATTAAATTTGCACTTTGTTGGTAATATTAAATAAAAATAAATCTTATGCAATAATACAAACAGTACTGAAAGACATCATGTTATTCTCGCAAAGAAATATAACCATCATTCAAGTAACTACTGTGAGGACATTGTAATTCTCCTTGTTTACAGAAATATCTACTGATGAGTTTAATGTTGCAAGATATGTTACTCACAAATAACAATTTGAAAGTAGAAAATGACAGAAAATGGAACAAAATATCTCTTCATTTAACAAATCAAAGTTAAAATTTTGTGTGTCATTTAATTTTATCTCTTCTGATATATTTCCTTATATCATAATTTTATTGATACAATGCGTAAACGGGGACATCAACCGAACTCGAAAATAGACAAATAAGGAGACAATTACACAAATGTCGAAATGGAATAATCATGGCATATTTTTAATTTTTTTATACTTAAATCATATGTTGAGATTATTTACAACATTTTAAGTATCACTTAACCGTTAACAGTCAATATGCAGTTTCGAGTCGGTAATATCAAGCGTGTGTTTCATACGACTCTTCCTCAAATTTGGTTTCATCAGGGTTGCAACATTCAAGGCCACAGAATAGCTTTCCAAAACAAATTCTAAAAGACACGTGGAGGGCATTTCTACATTTGATGCTGGATCATATTCGATGCAATTCCTAACATATATGTTTGTTCCCATTTTTCTGGTGAACAATTGATATGCTCTTGCCTGTGTTTCATTGTAGAGTCAATCTTAACAGATCTAAGTTTCCGTTAAAAAGTGAAGTTGGTATTGGCACTTCCTGTGTTTTGGAAGAAAGTCAGTTTACTGTCAATGATGATCGCGAGGTACTTATCCTGTTACGTGATTTCCACTGGTACATTTCCCTCTCTTTTCACTATACCCAGGCTGCATCTTATCCTGTCCCCTCGATGGAATATGTATGAAAGAAAATAATCTGATTCGGTATATTATTATCATTTCAGAGTCATTATTCTCTGAGGAGAGCAGCTGGGCTCTTGGGTATTGGTACCAACAATGTGATATCCGTCAAGTGTGACCACAGGTATGTTCACACGTTCGGAGCAAACACATGCTTGATAATATGTATTGGTGTTTAAGGTCGTTTCGATCGACCATGTAGGGATGAGATTCAAGGGAAAACGATACCCCATTCTTGTCGTAGGAACCGACAAAAGAGGATCTAGTAGCCACTTGGCTGATTGTGAGTCATCGTCCACTGATGTCGTGTGATTGCGAACGGAAAGATTTATACAACGCGCATTTTAGCAAATGAAGGATACAAGCAGCCTGGTGTGGTGGTTTCTCAAGCATGTTCTGAGAAGTGTAGTATGATTTTCAGGGACCCAGAGAGAACCAAGCGTATGCCGCTCATGTTATGTTATTTCTTGGCGTTTTTAAGCGTTAAAATGTTAAGCCGCAATAGTGATGTTTCCTGATTATTTATTGAAGACTCATTCCTTCGTGTTGTCAGCAACTGTCTCAAACTAAACTGACCATTCACTCATTGTCTTCGCTGCTTGTGACCATAACAAATTCGTATGACGATTCGTAAAATGTTGTCGTTTTCGTACGGTTTATACAGGACTTGAATGTTATGACAGGGGTAAGATGATCATTGAGGACCTGGAAAAGAAGATCAGTTTGGCTAAGCAGGCTGGCAAGAAACCTTTGCTTGTCAACGCAACATGTGGGACAACTGTGTTTGGTGCTTATGACCCAGTGGAGGCCATTGCGGACGTTTGTGAAAAAAATGAAATGTGGTTACACGTTGATGTGAGGAACTTTGATACTACATTTAAAATACTTGAGACATTTATTTATAAATCACGACGACACAGTCGTTCATTTTATCGATTATTATTCATTATATAACAAGAAAATATGCTTCGTGATTTATCGAAAGTATCTGCCAATGATAAAACATGACAGGAAGGTAAAGGTTTTGGCAACGCGTAAGATCTTTTGAATCATCTCTGGTCTTTCCGAAAAGTATTGTTGGCAGTTAAAATAAAGAAAAACGTTTTTGAGAGATCTCATAGAACAAAAGTGTGAAAAAAAATTAATATATTTTAATTGGGCAAAAGGTAGCTTCGCTTCCTGTCATAACCTTCTTTTAAGATTAAATCATTAATGGCAATAGCTAAAGGTCTTGATGGGAAAACACAAATTCTCAAAATGATCGTGTTACAAGGGGTGGCTGAACAGTTCTGAGCCTAACTATGATGGAGTGAGTGGGTAAGTTTGGTTATACGCCGCTTTAAGCAATATTCCAGCAATATCACGGCGGGGGACACCAGAAATGGGCTTCACACATTGTACCCATGTCGGGAATCGAACCCGGGTCTTCGGCGTGACGAGCGAACGCTTTAACCACCAGGCTACCCGACCGCCCCCTAACTATGATGGACTGCGTTGATGGTTGCTATTATCTTTCAACATAATCCCCCTCCGAGGTACACACATTGTGCGAACGATTCTAGAGTGCCTGGATCCCGCTGGTGTAGAAAGCTTCCTCCAGGTTGTGTAAAAAGTCAACAGCAGAAATGACGTCAACATCGTTTGCATAGTGCGTGCAAGACAGTTCTTTCTTCAGGTTTGGGGGAAGGTCGATCTGAAAGTGTCAAATCAGTTGAAAACGGAGTTTAAGCCACAGTCATACATTGCAGTCATGGCGACAACAGAGTCTTGTGTTTAGTTGCATTCTCCTGCTGGAACAACACACCTTCAGTGAACTTTCAACGAAGTATACCATTAGTATTCTCACGCAGTTGCCTCAGCAGATTTGCATAATATTGACCATTAATGGTCAGATTATTCGGGAGGTAGTCCACCAGCAGCATTCCTGTGAAATCTCAGACATCCGAAGCCATCAAGCTAGTAGATGGAACGGACCTTGCCTTCTTCGGCGAAGAGGTTAAATGTTTTCTATTGTTTAACTGTTGCTAGTCGCTGGCTGATTGTGGCTGATAAGACTCATCCACGCTGAACAAAAACATCTGGGACCGATTCAAAACTACGTAAAATCCCACGATAGATGATGAATCTGAAGATCAGGACCCAGCGTGCTGAAACCTTTGTCATGCCCAGTTCATTTATCAGAATGTTCTATCTCTCATGATGCCTATTGTATTGGTTATGTGAAGTGTGTCCTCAATGTTCCAGAATCATATCACGTATTATATCAACATGTTCCTTTGTGGTGGTGGAACTTTAAGATCTTCCTGATCTTAGGTTATCTTCGAGGCTGCTCCTTCCCCTCTTCTCTGGCCACCTCGTAACATTGGCAAAGGAAGGAGCACCATCACCTCAAGTGGAGTCCATGTCCGCATGTCTGTTGGAGTAATTTGAGGAAAGCGCGGTAGCCAGTTTTCTCCCTTTTCATCAACAGAGAATACCTTGTTACTTTGGTGCCTTCAATAATATGCTGCCTGCTTGTGTATGGGGTTCAAATGCAGCCAATAAACATGGACAGTATTGTACTAAATACATGCAAACTGTTACGGGTGCACTAAATTCTTCGTAGTCATGCTCAGAACCTTGCAGCCACCTTCGTAATTGTTGAAAGTATGGTTCGTTTGATCCCTGTACCCTTAAGTAATTTACAAAACAGTCGGAGGGGTCGCGGTTGCTGTATAGAATCGATAGTGCAAGTGACCAGCTGGGTGAGAATGGCTTTGTCTTTTTTGTGTTCACAATATTTACTGTTGGTCTTCCGCTACAGGCCTGATGAGGCGTATGGGCTGTAGGAAAGGCTCGGCTGCCTCTGATGTAAAATCAAACAACCACTACATATTGATGTGATCTTCTCTCTTTAGGCAGCGTGGGGAGGATCGGCGTTGCTCTCTCGAAAACACAGACATCTTCTGCAGGGCGTGCACAGGTAAAACATTCATCAGTTTGATCATATCATTATGCGTTAATCAACTCGAATATTCCCGGTCAGACATTTGCTGATTATCCGTTTACATATACGTGTTTATTACACATAACGTCAACAATGATACGCTTTGACGTCATTACCATTGTGACGTCAAAAACATCAAATCATAAACGATGTTTTATTACGTTGTATTGACAGTTTTATTACTCAGAGGATAAGCAACAACCGAGTTCATAAAAATCGTATTTGCACTCGGGCAAATGTCACTTCACACGCACCACTGTATTGTTTACGTCTTCCGGACGGTATTGTTGACGTCATTCGATTCTTATTGGGATGTATGTCGGAATGACGTCATACTAGAAACGATTTCATAGCTGAAGATTGTTGACGTAATTCAACAAATGTGTTTTTTTGAGACGGCGGTATTGATCAGTGCATTTTTCTAAAGGGGAAGATTCAGAAATAATGGGCAATATAGAAAGTTTTACGCTCGTCTTTGTGTGAAACTGATTTACGAAACTCATGTAAGAATTCATGTGTTACCATCGGTCTCGTTCGACACTAGTTTCTTAAAATCAGTATGACACACATGTCCGTATACCAAGATCTATTGGTGTAGTGACGCACTTACGTTCTCATCTCTAGTGTTCATGTCAGGGCCATACCTGTTCACCAAAGTGGTAAACGTCAAGGATCTGCTTCATTATAGGTTTTGCTCCGACATGAAGCTGACACGCCGTGATAGAATAGAATACTGTTTATAGCAGTGTTAAACCAAACAGACTCACTTGTCTGCATTCCAAACATATGTGTGAAAATATGAGTTTCGAGCAAAGGAAAATATTTTTCTCGCCCATCGGCGAAATATTTCAATATCGCTATAAAATCGTTGAATTAAGTTAAAATGAGTTCAATTTTGTGTCATGATGCTTGAAAGAAATACATTTATGTATTTGCGAAACAAAAACATGAGTTTTAAGTATAGGAACATATTCTCGGCCATGGGCCTACAAATGGGCCACTCTTCGCCCATGGGCGACATATTGAGTTTTTGAACAATTTTTTAAAAAGAATTTCTTCCTTGGTATGTTCCCATGAAAACAACATGTTTAATTTTGTAAATACCTTTGACCGAGACTGGGCAAAGACCAAAGTCCAAAGTCCAAAGAGTTTCTGGACTATTGGGTTTCCAGAATTAAAATGGATGTGTTAGAGTAATACCACAGTCTATTGCTCTCTTTGAGACGCGCGCGTATTCCGGAGAACAATATGGTCTAAGGTGCCGCGATTCGCTCTGCAGAGTTGCGTCCCTTGGGCACGCCAGAAACCTATGATTGTGGGTTCGAATCCCGGTTCGCCCCGATTATGTTTCTAGGTTTGTCAGCGCCATACCCGTCCTCGTGGACCATACCTGCATCACTTCGGGCTTTTCTCCCACATTAAGCTGACACGCCGTGATATAACTGGAATACTGTTAAAAGCGGCGTTAAACCCAACTCATTCACTCACTCACTCATAGGCGGCGGTAGGGTAGCTTGGTGGTTAAAGCGTTCATTTGTCACGCCGAAGACCCGTGTTCGTGACCATACATGGGTAGAATGTATTGCTGAAAACAACGTAGAACCATACTCACTCGCTCACTTGTATATACAACGTAAGGATATGAAGGGTTGGTGACTTATCCGTTACACTTGACATTACATGTAACAGGTCAATAATTATGAAAGACGATCAAACATCGCAAACATCGTTGCCGCTGACGTAGTAATCACAGCTGTTCCCGATGTGTTCCAGATCAATAGGTGTCTGTGATGTCGTCTTTAACACCCTTCATGTCTGTTACTAATGTGAACAGTAGTTTCGTGGCCTTCAGGAACCAACCATTGATTCCGAACATCTCTAAGGTCACATATTGCGTGCTATACTTGAACGGTCGTTTCAAGGCTAGTTCCACTCATCTTCGTAGCATATTACCCTGTGCAAAAATCTAGAAAACCACCATTGTTGTCAAATCAACATGGAAAGGACTTTTCGATTCCAATCTCCAATCCAAAATACGAATTATAGAAACAAATTTAAACATAAAAAATGTTGTTTACAACACGCAGTGGACAAACACAAACATGCTAATTTGTAAAACCATTTTCTAAATCTTCATCTCACCTTATTCTTTGATCTGTGATGTTGTGCTTCAGAGACAGGACTGTTTCTGGACACAATGACTAGAAGACACACAATTTCATACTTTCGGTATCTCTATCCCCATAAAGGGGCGGTGGGATAGCCTGGTGGGTAAAGCGTTCGCTCGTCACGCCGAAGAACCGGATTCGATTCCCGGGTACAATGTGTGAAGCCCATTTCTGGTGTCCCCCGCCGTGATTTTGCTGGAATATTGCTAAAAGCGGCGTGATACCATACTCACACACTCACTATTCCCAATGATCAGGACAATATTTAGTACTTGTGGTCATACACGTTTAGCTCAACAGATATGGTCAGCACTTTGACATAAACGGATAAATGCTACATGGAAAATACATTGTCAATGCAAGAGAATAAACAGTCCAGATTATCCGCCGAAACAGATTCAATTTGGCGTCAATTTGGCCAAATAACTATATGAACCCCTTTTTTGCAAACTATTTCAGATTGCGAAGAGCAAACGGCTATAATTCACTTTACCTTTTAGGAAAGCGTGTGTTTACAATTGAGACTAAACTGTATTTGTTTATTTGTTCTTTAACACCGCACTCAGCAATATTCCAGCGATATGACGGCGGCTACATTGTGTATTAAAAGGTACATGACAATGTTAAACTAAACAATGAAAGTGTACGTTTGAAAAGTTCCAATCGAAAGCTCTGAATTCACGCATTGAATGTTCCTTCAGAACACCTTAGCAGCATTACTGGAGGAAAGGCTGGTCGACAATAAATGGATATTACACAATAGCCCCGCACAATAAAGCCGTGCATATAAAAATACTAGAATTATTTTGGACTCCTTTATCACAATTTTATGTGAATCCATTGCAATAACTCAGTATAATGAGCTGTATAACAATTAGCCCCTTCATAACTATAGTAAGAATCACATGTCGTTATTATGACTCCACGGGTCCATATTTGCTTCTCATGCAATCAGCCCTCTATCTGGCAACAGATTAAATCCTGATCGATACGGGTGTAATCGATACCCTCTCCGGAGCGGAAACCGCCTCCTATCCTCTCCCTAACCTCTTTCACAACGATGGGACCATGTTTGGACTTCACTGCCGCACAATCACTTGTGTGGACTTAAACAATTGAAAAACGGTGACATAGGAGATTTCCCCGATAGAAAAGTAATGATCCCCCGCTCCTGAGAAAATTATGCACTACTTTATCATGCCGGAGACAGGTGGTTGTGGAATGTGTGAAGAAAATTGAATAATACAGGCTCAGATCGAATCAACTGTCGATGGGGAATGACAGAATTAACCTTAATATCAATGCTGGCTTTTTACCCTTCTCCTACGTCAGTGACTACCTTTTTGGCGATAAAAACATGGAAATAATAGATGGGAGAGCTTCCGTCGAATCGATTCCTAACTTCCTGCTTTTTCCGTTTGTGATTTACCAAACACCACGCGTATTTTATCGATTGACATTTGACATGGTAAGAAATATTCAATTTCAACTGAGGAAAAATTACTATATATAAAGAGTACAATATTATAGTACACCCACGCGTCGTTTTCAAATGTCAACCAATGCTGAGATGAAAACATACTCGTCGGGGAAATATGTTTTAAAGAAGTTATTTTGTAGTTTAATGTTAGATTTACACGGTCACGACAGGTGCTACGCGAACACCAGGTGTCATTGTAACTCACCTGTTTGTCACTTCCAATATCTTTATTCTCTTTCTTTACGTGTGACAGATATGCGAATGTGAGTCCATGTGTTTAATTAATTAGTTGTATTCTATGGGACTATTTATTTGGCACCGTGTATTTCGTCAAAGGGAAACCCCTGCTGGGTAACCAGTGTCGTGGAATACAAGCGTATACAGTATACAGTGAATCTGTGTGACACAAGCTCCAGTTGCATCCATGTTTACGTTGCTTCTTCTGCTGCAGAGCTGACTCGTTGACATGGAATCCACACAAGATGATGGGCGTGCCCTTACAGTGCTCGGCCATTCTCACGAGGCACAAGGTAACACTCACACACTCCAAGACTAGACACAAGGTAACACTCATTGAATTAGACACAAGGTAACACTCCTACACTGTTTGACTAGACACAAGGTAACACTCATACACTCTTTGACTAGACACAAGGTAACACCCCTTCACTCTTTGACTAGACATAGGGTAACACTTACTGACTAGACACAAGGTAACACTCATTGACTAGACACAAGGTAATACTCCTGCACTGTTTGACTAGACACAAGGTAACACTTATACACTCTTTGACTAGACACAAGGTAACACTCCTTCACTCTTTGACTAGACGTAGGGTAACACTTACTGACTAGACACAAGGTAACACTCATTGACTAGACACAAGGTAACACCTTTTGACTAAACACATGTAACATTTATTGACAAGACATAGGGTAACAATCATACACTCATTGACTAGGCACCGGGTAACACTCTTACACTCATTGACTAGACACAAGGTAACACTCATTGACTAGACACAAGGTAACACTCATTGACAAGAAACAGAGTACCACTCATTGACTAGACAGAAGGTAACGCTCATTAACTAGACTCAAGGTAACACTCTTTGACTAGACACAAGATAACACTCATTGACTAGACACAAGGTAACATTCAGACACTCATTGACCAGACACAAGGTAACATTCAGACACTCATTGACTAGACACAAGGTAACACTCATTAACTAGACATAAGGTAACACTCATACACTCATTGACTAGACACAAGGTAACACTCATTAACTAGACACATGGTAACACTCATTAACTAGACATAAGGTAACACTCATACACTCATTGACTAGACACAAGGTAACACTCATTAACTAGACACAAGGTAACACTCATTGACTAGACACAAGGTAACACTAATTGACTAGACACAAGGTAACACTCATTGACTAGACACAAGGTAACACTCATTGACTAGACACAAGGTAACACTCATTGACTCGACACAAGGTAACACTCATTAACTAGACACAAGGGAACACTAATTGACTAGACATAAGGTAACACTCATTGACTAGACACAAGGTAACACTCATTGACAAGACACAGGGTAACACTCATTGACTAGACACAAGGTAACACTCATACACTCATTGACTAGATACATGGTAACACTCATTAACTAGACACAAGGTAACACTCATTAACTAGACACATGGTAACACTCATTAACTAGACATAAGGTAACACTCATACTCTCATTGACTAGACACAAGGTAACACTCATTAACTAGACACAAGGTAACACTCATTGACTAGACACAAGGTAACACTAATTGACTAGACACAAGGTAACACTCATTGACTAGACACAAGGTAACACTCATTGACTAGACACAAGGTAACACTCATTGACTCGACACAAGGTAACACTCATTAACTAGACACAAGGGAACACTAATTGACTAGACATAAGGTAACACTCATTGACTAGACACAAGGTAACACTCATTGACAAGACACAGGGTAACACTCATTGACTAGACACAAGGTAACACTCATACACTCATTGACTAGATACATGGTAACACTCATTAACTATACACAAGGTAACACTCATTAACTAGACATAAGGTAACACTCATACACTCATTGACTAGATACATGGTTACACTCATTAACTAGACACAGGGTAACACTCATTAACTAGACATAAGGTAACACTCATTGACTATACACAAGGTAACACTCATTAACTAGACATAAGGTAACACTCATACACTCATTGACTAGATACATGGTTACACTCATTGACTAGACATAAGGTAACACTCATTAACTAGACATAAGGTAACACTCATACACTCATTGACTAGATACATGGTTACACTCATTGACAAGATACATGGTAACACTCATTGACTAGACACAAGGTAACACTCATTGACTAGACACAAGGTAACACTCATTAACTAGACATAAGGTAACACTCATACACTCACTGACTAGATACATGGTAACACTCATTAACTAGACACAAGGTAACACTCATTAACTAGACATAAGGTAAACCCTCTTACACTCATTGACTAGATACATGGTAACACTCATTGACTAGACACAAGGTAACACTCATTAACTAGACATAAGGTAACACTCATACACTCATTGACTAGATACATGGTAACACTCATTAACTAGGCACAAGGTAACACTCATTAACTAGACATAAGATAACACTCATACACTCATTGACTAGATACATGGTTATACTCATTAACTAGACACAAGGTAACACTCATTAACTAGACATAAGGTAACACTCATACACTCATTGACTAGACACAAGGTAACACTCATTAACTAGACACAAGGTAACACTCATTAACTAGACATAAGGTAACACTCATACACTCATTGACTAGATACATGGTAACACTCATTGACTAGACACAAGGTAACACTCATTAACTAGACATAAGGTAACACTCATACACTCATTGACTAGATACATGGTTACACTCATTGACAAGATACATGGTAACACTCATTGACTAGACACAAGGTAACACTCATTGACTAGACACAAGGTAACACTCATTAACTAGACATAAGGTAACACACGTACATTCATTGTCTAGACACAAGGTAACACTCATTGACTAGACACAAGGTAACACTCATTGACTAGACACAAGGTAACACTCATTAACTAGACATAAGGTAACACTCATACACTCACTGACTAGATACATGGTAACACTCATTAACTAGACACAAGGTAACACTCATTAACTAGACATAAGGTAAACCCTCTTACACTCATTGACTAGATACATGGTAACACTCATTGACTAGACACAAGGTAACACTCATACACTCATTGACTAGATACATGGTAACACTCATTAACTAGGCACAAGGTAACACTCATTAACTAGACATAAGGTAACACTCATTAACTAGACATAAGGTAAAACTCATACACTCATTGACTAGATACATGGTAACACTCATTAACTAGACATAAGGTAACACTCATACACTCATTGACTAGATACATGGTAACACTCATTAACTAGACATAAGGTAACACTCATACACTCATTGACTAGATACATGGTTACACTCATTAACTAGACACAGGGTAACACTCATTAACTAGACATAAGGTAACACTCATACACTCATTGACTAGACACAAGGTAACACTCATTAACTAGACACAAGGTAACACTCATTAACTAGACATAAGGTAAAACTCATACACTCATTGACTAGATACATGGTAACACTCATTGACTAGACACAAGGTATCACTCATTAACTAGGCACAAGGTAACACTCATTAACTAGACATAAGGTAACACTCATACACTCATTGACTAGATACATGGTAACACTCATTAACTAGACATAAGGTAACACTCATACACTCATTGACTAGATACATGGTTACACTCATTAACTAGACACAAGGTAACACTCATTAACTAGACATAAGGTAACACTCATACACTCATTGACTAGACACAAGGTAACACTCATTAACTAGACATAAGGTAACACTCATACACTCATTGACTAGATACATGGTAACACTCATTGACTAGACACAAGGTATCACTCATTAACTAGACACAAGGTAACACTCATTGACAAGACACAGGGTAACACTCATTGACTAGACACAAGGTAACACACTTATTGACTAGACACAAGGTAACACCCGTTGACTCGACACCAGGTAACACTCATTGACTAGACAAAAGGTAACACTCATTGACAAGACACAAGGTATCACTCATTAACTAGACACAAGGTAACACTCATTGACAAGACACAGGGTAACACTCATTGACTAGACACAAGGTAACACACTTATTGACTAGACACAAGGTAACACCCGTTGACTCGACACCAGGTAACACTCATTGACTAGACAAAAGGTAACACTCATTGACAAGACACAAGGTAACACTCATTGACTAGACACAAGGTAACACACTTATTGACTAGACACAAGGTAACATCCGTTGACTCGACACCAGGTAACACTCATTGACTAGACAAAAGGTAACACTCATTGACAAGACACAAGGTAACACTCATTGACTAGACACAAGGTAACACTAATTGACTAGACACAAGGTAACACTCATTGAATAGACACAAGGTAACACTCATTGACTAGACACAAGGTAACACTCATTGACTAGACACAGGGAAGCACCTGTACACTCAGACATAAAGTAACGTTCAAACACTCATTGACTAGACACACGGTAACACTCATTGACTAGACACAGGGTAACACTCATTGACTAGACACAAGGTAAAACTCATTGACTAGACACAAGGTAACACTCATTGACTAGACACAGGGACGCACCTGTACACTCAGACATAAAGTAACGTTCATACACTCATTGACTAGACACAAGGTAACACTCATTGACTAGACACAAGGTAAAACTCATTGACTAGACACAAGGTAACACTCATTGACTAGACACATGGTAACACTCATTGACTAGACACAGGGAAGCACCTGTACACTCAGACATAAAGCAACGGTCATACACTCATTGGCTTGACACATGGTGTATGATCTATGAAATTTGAAACCCCGGATAGAAGCAAATAACGTTTTAGATAATATTGGTGTTCCGATTAACCGAAGGATTATAGCAAGATCATACATCGTTGTGCCTCGTCACACATTTTAATGTGAATTGCAGGATCTTCTTTTAGCTGCGAACCAATCCAATGCGGCCTACCTGTTCCAAAAGGACAAACTATACGATGTGAGTTACGACACGGGTGACAAGACCGTGCAGTGTGGCCGACACAACGACATCTTTAAACTGTGGCTCATGTGGAGATCCAAGGTACGGTGGCGTCATAGTCCTGGAATCACGCGAAAGGATCATATACGAGTTGATGTTACGATATGTATTTATAATTTACAGTGAGTCAAATCTATCAATAAAATAAATCTCCTGCAGTGTTACAATAATATGGTACCGCCACTCACGAGATCGGTCAGCATATATTCCACTGGTAAAAGTTCATTTGTCGAAGCTGAAGTTGGGATCAGCGCAGCTCCTATACCATTCGTCACCACTCGCCCCTTTCCGTAACCTGCAAGAAGACTCGTCCCCCTATCGATGAATGTTATGTGCGAAAATACGACAAACCAATCGGAATGCGCGTATGATTTCAAGTTCTTTGTCAAATAATCCCTCAGAAATAATTTTTGATTTTCAAATGTCTTGCATCTAAAAATATACCACAGAAACAGTGAAATGTGTTCAATCATACTGCATAATGCCGCACGTCCCGATGTCCTTTAAATTGCATCTGAAATATAACTAATATATGGGGATATATATGTGAACCATTACGCAACGAGTTGATAATTGTTTTAGGTATGCCCGTTTGCGCTAAGACGAAACATAGTCGCAAAAATGACCATAAGAGGGGCACGAGTCGCTATTCGGCTTGTCCCGGAATAACACGAGTTGGTCACGAATGCTGCTATACATCATTGCTTAAAGACTCCTTCCTGATGTTTGTTTAAGATACTTTGCATGACATTTTTGCATTTTCTTGGATCATTTCTACTATCTTTATTATAGGCTTACTCCTATATTGATGACACCCACAAAATGTTGAGCAACAGTTAAAGATGGACTATTGACTTAGACGTACCAGTATCATGATGGAATTGATATGGTCCCAAAAACAGATTTCGTTTCGAGCAGTTAGTTTATAAGTGAAATCATGCAGCTACAGAATATTTCTTTAAAAAAATTAAATTTTGAACGGTTGTTGTAAACAACTTATTTGTCAACCACCCCTTAATGCCCCAGGCACAGTAGTTCGGTGCATCGACCTGATTTAGATCCCCACTTTGATTCAGTGAAGTTGAAGTGTTAAGCTCATTAATGCAATATTGCTGTCATCTGCCGTGATATGACTCGACAAATGGCGTCAAACAATACCCAGTCCATTCAATAATGATACGTATGTTTTTGGATGAACCGTGCATTAAAATACTTGAAGTACTGGCAATGTTTATCTGTCTTCTTGTGAAGAGCCGTTTCAAACAATTCACAAACAAGTTAAAAGAGACAAACAGTAGACTATCAGTTTCTTCTTCTGGGTACACCAGATTTCAATTTCAAATTTAAAAATAAACTAAAATATCATCCTATCTATTGCAGAATATCAGATTGTAGCATGGTTTAAAACTGTAATTGAATTTTCACTTTATTATACAAATATATAAAACATGTCCATTAAACTTTCTTTATTTCAGTTTTCATCACAGGAAATGTTGGTAGGAATATCTGTATTTCAGTTGACGTTCTTCTTCTGTTTATGATGATGTTAGAGTTTTTCAAAAGTTATGTCTTTGAATATGTCACAGGGCGATAAAGGGTTTGAGGATCAAATGGACCGTAACTTTGAACTAGCAAAGTAAGTAAAACAATTTTAATTATTTTAGTAAAGTTATTCGAACCACATGTACGGGAGTTCAGTGATTAGTTCGAAGCCTCAATTGACTGAAGTGTTTGTGGATGTACCTCAGTGGCATCACCTAATGTCACTATTACGAACTTCCTTCCCTGTTAGGCTTATTATTATTGAACCCTCGTATATTATCAACAGAATGTGTTGCGCACATGATACATGAGGTTACAGCTTTGAAGTAAAAGGTAGCTGCACATTTTGATTAAACGTTAACATACAATGGATCAGGTTACAGCTTTGTTGTAAAATGTAGCTGCACTCCTTTATTAAAAGTTAACATACAATTGATTAGGTTACAGCTTTGTAGTAAAATGTAACTGCACTTTTTGATTAAACGTTAACATACAATGGATCAGGTTACAGCTTTGTTGTAAAATGTAGCTGCACTCCTTTATTAAAAGATTAGGTTACAGCTTTGTAGTAAAATGTAGCTGCACTCCTTTATTAAACGTTAACATACAATTGATTAGGTTACAGCTTTGTTGTAAAATGTAGCTGCACTCCTTTATTAAACGTTAACATACAATTGATTAGGTTACAGCTTTGTAGTAAAATGTAACTGCACTTTTTGATTAAACGTTAACATACAATTGATTAGGTTACAGCTTTGTTGTAAAATGTAGCTGCACTCCTTTATTAAACGTTAACATACAATTGATTAGGTTACAGCTTTGTAGTAAAATGTAGATGCACTCCTTTATTAAACGTTAACATACAATTGATTAGGTTACAGCTTTGTAGTAAAATGTAACTGCACTTTTTGATTAAACGTTAACATACAATTGATTAGGTTACAGCTTTGTTGAAAAATGTAGCTGCACTTTTTGATAAACCGTTAACATACAATTGATTAGGTTACAGCTTTGTTGTCAAAGGTAGCTGCACTTTTTGATAAACCGTTAACATACAATTGATTAGGTTACAGCTTTGTAGTGAAAGGTAGCTGCACTTTTTGATTAAACGTTAACATACAGTCGATTAGGTTACAGCTTTGCAATAAAAAGTAGCTGCACTTTTTGATACCAACTTTTGTCGACTATTCATTAAATGTAGACACTGTTTAATACAGGCAGAGATGACGTTTGTGAACGTTGCTTTGTAAAAGCGAATTGTGACATTGTGCCTGATAACTGATAATGGTTAATCCATACAATGAACGAAATAATAATAATTCAAAGGCGTTTCAAAAGTAATATTTTCACAAGGAAAGTTAAATTATTGTCACCTCTTTACTTTGTCAAATGAATATAAGTATCAGTCCATTGTATTCGAATACACTGCCTTCACACGAGCTGTCGCCTTTGTGGACAGGCTTCTAGCAGGCTACTCAAATAACCGCTGTGTTTTGTTTTTCAAAATCATGTGTGCTGCTGCTAGTATTGTAATAACAACTACTTCCCGGTCCAAGACCGTGCTATGAGACAGTTCCAATTCGTTTACCCTATCGCCTATAAAACTGTTGTGCACACATGCCCCTCATCCAACCCCATCCCTGGGTGGGATGCTGCTCATACTATCAACTACTGGCTTGTATGGTCGATGTTTGCTTATTTACAGACTATCACTATATATCTGTTAAAACCTGTCAACGGCACAAAACAACATTCCCACACATTACAAGGTATAAACACTGTTCAAGCATTTAATCCACTGCACGTATTTATGTTCTAACAATACATACAAGAGATCTCAAACTACGGTTAGTTGCTTAATATATTTTGGTTTTATTGCTACTGGTAGTTCTTTCCTTTTAAAGCTCTTTTAAGAAACAATGTTCGAGTACCGGATCATGTCTATTAACGCGACGTTACTACAGGTCAAGATTCGTTTTCATAACTGTTTGTTTGTTTGTTTGTTTGTTAGTTTTCATAATTGAATCGTTGAAATGTGAATGGCAACTAGCCTATTGATTATACTGAATATGGTTTGACTTAATAACTTTTGTTTGTAATGTTACTGATGTTTTGTAATTTCTATTTAATAACAGATATCTTCTTGGGAAAGTGAGAGATCGCGAAGGATTCCACCTTATTCTTGACGAGGTATAAATCGATCCTACATATAATGTATAATTGGAATATTTGTAAAGGAGTAACTCTAGTAGGTTTCATTGATACATTTGATAGTTTACAAATAAATGCAAGTATATATGTAGAGATATAGATAGATATATTATTCTTATAAGTCCGAAAGGTCCGAATAGGTCCCCATGGCCTGTACCCCATATTTGTCTCAAGGCACGATGGCCGCCTCTGTGGTCTAGTGGTAGAGCGTCCGCCCGGAGCGGAAGGTCCGGGTTCGATCCCCGGCCGCGTCATACCAAAAGACGTTCAAAGATGGCACTTGTTGTTACCCTGTCTGGTGCTCGGCATTAAGGGGCTAAAACAATGACTGGTCGGCTCGGAGTCAGTTTTCTGTGTCTGAGTAGGGTATTCATGTTAAACTGCGGCATGGTATCTCAGTGAGCTTGCACTATAAATCGGCATCAGTCCAGACTAGTACAAGCAGCCACAAACCCACACACGAGCATGCACGACGCTATATAAGTGCAATAATCTTGGACGCGACGTTAAACCCCATTTCACCTCACCTCACCTCACCTCAAAGCACGACTACGAAAGATCATAATGATTGTCATCGGGAAGGTGTTTGTGTTCGTACATATACATTACATATATGAAAGTATTCCTTTCCAGATCGAAGGCCCTAATGTTTGTTTCTGGTATATCCCACAAAAATGGCGATCCTTAAAACGCGAGGAAATACCCGATGAAGATCTCCACAAGGTAACCTTCGTGTGTAATAAATATACACCGTTCACATTGGAATATATAACTGTTTTGCATGTATACCATTGTAACAGTATTGCGTTTGGTATAAACGTTGTGACGATACTATTGTACTTGGGGTAGACGTATTGTATTGCATTGTATTGATGAGTATAACGTCAGTGCTGATCACTTCTTGTCTGGCGCTCGGCATTAAGGGGCTAAAACAAGGAGTGGTCGGCTCGGAGTCAGTATACTGTGTCTGAGTGGGGTATTCATGTTAAAACTACGGCATGGTATCTCAGTGGGCTAGCACTATAAATCGGCATCAGTCCGGGCTAGTACAAGCAGCCACACACACACACACACACACACACACACACACACACACACACACACACACACACACACACACACACACACACACACACACACACACACACACACACACACACGCACGCACACACACACGCACGCACACACGTGTGCATACACGTCGCTATATAAGTGCAATAATCTTAGACGCGACGTTAAACCCAATTTCACCTCACTTCCCACATCAGACTGCCGTTTAACCGAGTCCCTGGTGTATTCGACGTAGTTGTTCTATGCTCCGAAGTTTTTCACTCTAATATAAAGTTTTCCCGTGTTCTATATGGATATCGTCCTTTTCATACGTGTTTTCCGAATACTTTTCTTCATCTTGTTGTGTCGATAGCATGTCTTGGTATTGATCTCAACAAAGGATATTTCAGCTTGTTATCGATACATAATTATCGAGACAATTTCAATGCATCTGTAGTACGACCTATCTGAACATTCCTATTGGGAAAACATACATGATAATATAAATATGATTATTGTTGTAGAAAATATGCCTCCTTTAATGATCCGTTCTACGAGCTTGGCCAATCCGCTGACTTTAGGGACCGACCATTGGAATTAAAAAAAAGCTGTTTCTGAAAATCCTTAAAAAAAATTATGCTTTAGAAAAACAAGAAGTTGCCCACCACAAAATTTCACTGTTACAAGGCTGACAGTTATAAAAAAAATTTATCTGCTTTTGCAACTGACGCCGAACAAATATCTAACTCTAATATCAAATGATCAAATGGTCATCCTATATAGTTGAGTAGGAACCAGAACAACTGTCGTTTTTTGTTATGGTGATACAAATTGTGCGCGTTCTATTTTGAAATGTATACGTTCTGTCGATAGTTACCATACACCTCTTCCTCTTCCTAGGTTGCACCAGCCATCAAGGCACGAATGATGGAATCAGGAACAGTGATGGTCCAATATCAACCTTTAAACACGATGCCCAACTTTTTCCGGGTCGCCATTTCCAACATGGCCGTCAGTACACGTGACCTGGACTTCCTGCTTGATGAGATCGAATGTCTTGGGCGAGATCTGAACCTGTGATCTTCTTCCTGCTCCGGGAGCAGGAACTAAACTAAATGCCAATGCAGAAGTTGTGGATGGGAACATATTCACTGAGAGTGTTTTTAGAGAGTTGCATAATGACCCGTTCTGTGTGAGCTCTTGTAATCATGATGCCCGATTAAAGGTCTGGGAGAGAATGTTAGTGTAGGAAATAAAATCCGATTGCGTTGAAAAGCATTCCCTAACTGTATGTGACCTTATAGAATTTATATCGGTATCCGTTGGAGAACCGACAATAAATGATTATGTTTAATTAGAGCGTATAAGAGCCATTAGAAGCATCTCCCATTGGCAGAACAACTTAAACATAGGCGTCACGGCACGAATAGATGTTGTGGGAGGACGATTAACGATCAGTTATTTGAGATTTGTAGTTTGGCGTTATGATGCTGTGGTATTTGTATGGTCTCGCAATTTGAAAGTGGTTGTATTAGTAATATGGGTTGTAAGTTTGCTTGTATTAGGACCTGAGGTTAGGGACATGTACATTGCAAGTATATATATATTCACTGAAACCTATACATTTAAACAGAATTAAGTTCAAACAGCATCAGCTGGCATGCTTAATTATCATTTCTAATATTATTCGAGATTTCGCTGGAAAAGGATACGGCAGCTCCTGACATCACTAACATGAACATAAACACATATAGAGAGTGTTCTTATGCGACGCGACGCGGTGATATAACTGGACTACTGTTCACTCACTCACACATGTATGTACATGTACGTCTGTCGTATTAGTGTTTGGAACAACTGCATAGAATTACCTAAAACAAAGAGAAACAGGGTGAAGCTGGCTTTTTACACTGAATTAACAGGTCCCACTGAAGGGGAAATTTTTTTGCCATTTATTTACTTACTATTTGTTTTTATGTACCTCATATGCAAGGAAGGTAGACATCTAAATCGAATTTGTTATATTATACATTTCTCGAAATGGGAACTTTGCAATTCATCTTGTCATTATTTTAATATTTGGTTGGCATAGCGATTCTGTTACTTTGACCCCGTTACCTCGGTATACCATCTTCTTCGGTGGACCGGCATATACTTGTTATACTAACTATCTTGTTAACTCCTTCACGATTCTTAAGAGATGGTGGCCACTGTGTCACAATGAATGGTGTTTCCCATTGAGGATCTGTCGCCAGTTCTCCAGCGTCTATTCTGCTTTCAGAACTTGCGTGCCATGTCTTTCATAGTTTACTTCAGGTAAAAATCCATCAATTCACAAATAAGGCTTGAATGTTGCTAAGAAGAGTTTAGATGACGATGAATGTTTTACCGTTATGTGTATTTATCGTAAAGTGAGGGGCAAGAACATCTATACCTCTCGGCTTATTGTATCATATGTTTGATGTTTAATTGAATTAGGAGGCACGGGTGGCCAAGTCGAGAGTTGCGTCCCTTCGTACGCTCCAGAAACCTATGATTGTGGGTTCGAATCCCGATTCGCCCCGATTATGTTTCTAGGTTTGTCAGCACCATACCCGTGCTCATGGGTTTCACCGAAGTGGTAAACGTCTGAGACCTGCATCACTTCGGGCGTTCCTCCCACATTAAGCTGACACGCCGCGATATAACCGTAATACTGTTAAAAGCGGCGTTAAACCCAACTCACTCACCCATTAATTGAATTATCTTAGGTTAGCGATGTTTTATACAAAAATGAACTGTACTGGCACCATGTCAGCACTAAAAGAATATTTCCACATGGTTTTATGTGTAAAATATCAAAGATTTAAAACTGATTTTTACTGACGATGTGTATCCTATCAATAAATTGCTTTTTGGAACATAATAGGGTCATACGGTTGCAAAAATCATTTCTTACCCCCGTCTGCATGCAACCAATATCTTTAGTCTTGGCGAAGGCATTTAGGAGTGATACACATAAGGAAGAGAATCTATGGATGTCAACTTCTTTATTATGAGGAACACAACGTTTCTGAGTAAAAGGTTACTCCTTCATCAGGTCATTATGTCCCTCATAATAAAGATTTTGACATCCCTAAATTCTCTTCCTAATATATTCTTACACAACATTACTCAGCTACAGATAACTGTTTACAAACTGTTGCAGGAATAAGTTATTGTTAAATAGACATAATCACATTTAACAATGGCTCAGCGATCTAAGGCCTCGCAATTCGTTCTGCTGAGATGGGTCCCTTTTGGCGCATATGAATCATTTGGTTACAGGTTCGAATCCCAGATTTTCCCTAATCACTATTTACCATCGCCATTCACCAAAGATATAACTGAAATACTGTTCAAGCTGGCGTTAAAACCAACTCATTCCCTCACAGCAACATGAATATGTACCAAGCTGATTGTGGATAAGAATGTATAATACATGAATATATAATCTAGTTATCTATAGAAGTGATCACGTGTGTATTTATGACAAAGATAGAGAGCTATTCAACGTGAAACTGTTTGTTTCTGGACCGCCTCTCTGGGCAAGTGGTAGAGCGTACGCCCGGAGAGCGGAAGTCGGGGGTTCCATACGAGCTCGTCATACCAAAAGACGTTAATAGACGGTACTTGTTGTTACCCTGCCTGGTGCTCGGCGTAAAAGGGTGACGTATTGTTATGTACACATGTTTTTGTTCCCAGCGATCATTGTGATATAGACTCTGTGATTTCATAATGTTACCAGCAGCAATGACAAGATATATTACACATTTTATATATAGTAGTTTTGTTACGGCCTCAGTTGAAGACGGCGTTAATATAGATATATAGATAAGACGTGTAGAACTCATTGCATGTATACAGGAAACGTTAAGTACTTACTCATTTCGTGTACAATTCGGTGGTGAGGAAAAGACGAAAATGACAGAATCGTTGGATGGTTATGTTCATGGTTGTTGAAATCGGTGTTTACACGATCTATACTGAAATCATTCTTTGTTTGTATTTATCAATGTTAACGTTGCATGTATATAATGACAATGTATGGTTATTTTGGAAAATATGTGGATATTTGTGCATTGAAACCCTGATCTCTGTTTAGAAAGAATTTAATAAACATTTTGCTTTTAGACTGAATAAATATCATATTTAGCTAGAGTTACAAACTTGTTTTGTTTTATATTCAGTATCATGCAAATACATACTGGTGTGTACACTATCTACTTATATATACTAAGTACATGAACTTCCACAAAAAGAGCATGGTCATACTCCGAAATGTGCACTGTAGACACGCGACCTTAATATAACATCATAACATCAAAGTAAAAGCGACAAAACAATTTCATAATAATAATATTAATAAGACATTTTGCATGGTTCCGACTTAAGTCATAAGTCTATGAATCGCTGTCAAAAGCGATGATATCTGGAGTTTGCGAAAAGGTTCAAATTCTTTTTCATTTCAATGACCGATGATGTCAATATAAGCATCTACGTCCGTACCTGTTTGATGAAGAGAAACCCTGTCGGTTTCCGGTAGAAGTGTTCCCCACTCACTCACTCACTCACTCACTCACTCACTCATTTACTCACTCACTCATTTACTCACTCACTCACTCACTCACTCCGCCCGGGGAGCGGAAGGTCCGGGGTTCGATCCCCGGATGGGGTATTCATGTTAAACTGTGGCATTGTATCTCAGTGTGCTAGCACTATAAATTGGCATTCGTCCTGACTATTTCAAGCAGCACACACACACGTGCATGCACGTCGGTATATAAGTGCAATAATCTTGGACGTGTGTGTGTGTGTGTGTGTGTGTGTGTGTGTGTGTGTGTGTGTGTGTGTGTGTGTGTGTGTGTGTGTGTGTGTGTGTGTGTGTGTCCGTGCATGCGAGCGTGTGTGTACTTGCTTGGATGCGTATCTTTGTATCATTTAACATCAATCACACAAACAACATTTCCCATGCACTCACAATATTCTGAAATGGGTGAGGCTGAGAATACATATACATACAAACAAGTGAGTGGGCAAATATAGGCAGACCAGTAGATAGATAATTTGCAAATTAAAGTGGGTCGTGGAATAGTAATACTGCCTGCCACTTGAAACCGACAGCTAAGCAGTTAGATATACAGTCACGTGACTACAGACTCCATGCACCGTTTGGGACAGACCAAGAGCCCATGATGGTTGACATAAGAACATGTTTCGTGGTCTGCGGTTTTCTGTACTTTGTGCGTAAGTGATCTCTTTTTAATTTTTATCATTTTCAAACATTAATGCGGTAAGAGAAATTGTTGATTGCATATTAATTGTTTGTTTTTGAATGAGAAATGTTAGATAAATTATGTACTACCAACTACAGGATCTGAATGTTAACATGGACAAAAACAGATACCGTTACACAATATACCGTTTTAAACTATATTCCTTTTTTTAAGCTTTATGAGTAATTGATACACACTGGCTTATTATATAGTTGGAATGGTCGGAATCGCTTTTAGACGAGTTTCTTGTGATTATAAAGGGTTATGTCGCTTTATTAGAAAAAGGCGTCTCACGTTTCAGGTGTTGAGGGATTTCCAATATACGGTGAGCTGTACGTGAATGTGTCTCAGGGAAAAGCGGTCTGGGATGCAGCGGAGAAAGAATGTCGAAAAGATGGATTTCGCCTCACAAACTACGTGACTGTGGAGTCCTTAAAAAATATAGGTAAAGGCGGGGAATACTGGATTGGCGGCGTCAAAGATGAAGAAGGTAAGAAGCCGTGTGTCATGAACTAGCCATCATCTGTACTCACGTATTTACTTTAGAGTTGATGTAACACGCTGAAGCGCAAGGCAAGACGTGTGCGTTGGTTTATTCGTACGTCTTAACAAGTAATCCCGTGACAAAGAGTTCAGACGACCAAGCGATGTTGATACGTAAGATATATTATATACTCTGCAAAAGAAGTAGGGGATAATCGAAAATTACAGATTGAAGAAATACAATTGGGTATCGGGTGATGGTAATGGAGGGTGGGGGGCAAGTCATCAGGATACACAGGTGACTTATAGTTCAGCTTCCATCACAAGTCATCAGGATACACAAGTGACTTATAGTTCAGCTTCCATCACAAGTCATCAGGATACACAAGTGACGTATAGTTCAGCTTTCATCACAAGTCATCAGGATACACAAGTGACTTATAGTTCAGCTTCCATCACAAGTCATCAGGAATCACTAGTGACTTATAGTTCAGCTTCCATCACAAGTCACCAGGATACACAAGTGACTTATAGTTCAGCTTTAATCACAAGTCATCAGGATACACAAGTGACTTATAGTTCAGCTTCCATCACAAGTCATCAGGATACACAAGTGACTGATAGTTCAGCTTCCATCACAAGTCATCAGGATACACAAGTGACTTATAGTTCAGCTTCCATCACAAGTCATACGGATACACAAGTGACGTATAGTTCAGCTTCCATCACAAGTCATCAGGATACACAAGTGACGTATAGTTCACCTTCCATCACAAGTCATACGGATACACAAGTGACGTATAGTTCAGCTTCCATCACAAGTCATCAGGATACACAAGTGACGTATAGTTCAGCTTCCATCACAAGTCATCAGGATACACAAGTGACTTATGGTTCAGCTTCCATCACAAGTCATACGGATACACAAGTGACGTATAGTTCAGCATCCTTCACAAGTCATCAGGATACACTAATGACTTATAGTTCAGCATCCTTTACAAGTCATCAGGATACACTAGTGACTTATAGTTCAGCTTCCATCACAAGTCATCAGGATACACAAGTGACGTATAGTTCAGCATCCTTCACAAGTCATCAGGATACACAAGTGACTTATAGTTCAGCTTCCATCACAAGTCATCAGGATACACAAGTGACTTATAGTTCACCTTCCATCACAAGTCATCAGGATACACAAGTGACTTATAGTTCACCTTCCATCACAAGTCATCAGGATACACCAGTGACTTAAAGTTCAGCTTCCATCACAAGTCATCAGGAAACACTAGTGACGTATAGTTCAGCTTCCATCACAAGTCATCAGGATACACTAGTGACTTATAGTTCAGCTTCCATCACAAGTCATCAGGATACACAAGTGACTTATGATTCAGCATCCATCACAAGTCATCAGGATACACAAGTGACTTATAGTTCAGCTTCTATCACAAGTCATCAGGATACACAAGTGACTTATAGTTCAGCTTCCACCACAAGTCATCAGGATACACAAGTGACTTATGGTTCAGCTTCCATCACAAGTCATCAGGATACACAAGTGACTGATAGTTCAGCTTCCATCACAAGTCATCAGGATACACAAGTGACTTATAGTTCATCTTCCATCACAAGTCATACGGATACACAAGTGACGTATAGTTCAGCTTCCATCACAAGTCATCAGGATACACAAGTGACGTATAGTTCACCTTCCATCACAAGTCATACGGATACACAAGTGACGTATAGTTCAGCTTCCATCACAAGTCATCAGGATACACAAGTGACGTATAGTTCAGCTTCCATCACAAGTCATCAGGATACACAAGTGACTTATGGTTCAGCTTCCATCACAAGTCATACGGATACACAAGTGACGTATAGTTCAGCATCCTTCACAAGTCATCAGGATACACTAGTGACTTATAGTTCAGCTTCCATCACAAGTCATCAGGATACACAAGTGACGTATAGTTCAGCATCCTTCACAAGTCATCAGGATACACAAGTGACTTATAGTTCAGCTTCCATCACAAGTCATCAGGATACACAAGTGACTTATAGTTCACCTTCCATCACAAGTCATCAGGATACACAAGTGACTTATAGTTCACCTTCCATCACAAGTCATCAGGATACACCAGTGACTTAAAGTTCAGCTTCCATCACAAGTCATCAGGAAACACTAGTGACGTATAGTTCAGCTTCCATCACAAGTCATCAGGATACACTAGTGACTTATAGTTCAGCTTCCATCACAAGTCATACGGATACACAAGTGACTTATGATTCAGCATCCATCACAAGTCACCAGGATACACAAGTGACTTATAGTTCAGCTTCTATCACAAGTCATCAGGATACACAAGTGACTTATAGTTCAGCTTCCACCACAAGTCATCAGGATACACAAGTGACTTATGGTTCAGCTTCCATCACAAGTCATCAGGATACACAAGTGACGTATAGTTCAGCATCCTTCACAAGTCATCAGGATAAACTAATGACTTATAGTTCAGCATCCTTTACAAGTCATCAGGATACACTAGTGACTTATAGTTCAGCTTCCATCACAAGTCATCAGGATACACAAGTGACGTATAGTTCAGCATCCTTCACAAGTCATCAGGATACACAAGTGACTTATAGTTCAGCTTCCATCACAAGTCATCAGGATACACTAGTGACTTATAGTTCACCTTCCATCACAAGTCATCAGGATACACAAGTGACTTATAGTTCACCTTCCATCACAGGTCCTCAGGATACACCAGTGACTTAAAGTTCAGCTTCCATTACAAGTCATCAGGAAACACTAGTGACGTATAGTTCAGCTTCCATCACAAGTCATCAGGATACACTAGTGACTTATAGTTCAGCTTCCATCACAAGTCATCAGGATACACAAGTGACTTATGATTCAGCATCCATCACAAGTCATCAGGATACATAAGTGACTTATAGTTCAGCTTCTATCACAAGTCATCAGGATACACAAGTGACTTATAGTTCAGCTTCCACCACAAGTCATCAGGATACACAAGTGACTTATGGTTCAGCTTCCATCACAAGTCATCAGGATACACAAGTGACGTATAGTTCAGCATCCTTCACAAGTCATCAGGATAAACTAATGACTTATAGTTCAGCATCCTTTACAAGTCATCAGGATACACTAGTGACTTATAGTTCAGCTTCCATCACAAGTCATCAGGATACACAAGTGACGTATAGTTCAGCATCCTTCACAAGTCATCAGGATACACAAGTGACTTATAGTTCAGCTTCCATCACAAGTCATCAGGATACACTAGTGACTTATAGTTCACCTTCCATCACAAGTCATCAGGATACACAAGTGACTTATAGTTCACCTTCCATCACAGGTCCTCAGGATACACCAGTGACTTAAAGTTCAGCTTCCATCACAAGTCATCAGGAAACACTAGTGACGTATAGTTCAGCTTCCATCACAAGTCATCAGGATACACTAGTGACTTATAGTTCAGCTTCCATCACAAGTCATCAGGATACACAAGTGACTTATGATTCAGCATCCATCACAAGTCATCAGGATACACAAGTGACTTATAGTTCAGCTTCTATCACAAGTCATCAGGATACACAAGTGACTTATAGTTCAGCTTCCATCACAAGTCATCAGGATACACCAGTGACTTATAGTTCAGGCTCCATCACAAGTCATCAGGATACACAAGTGACGTATAGTTCAGCTTCCACCACAAGTCATCAGGATACACAAGTGACTTATAGTTCAGCTTCCATTACAACCTGCAAGTCATCAGGAGCTGCAGACCGCAGAATTTTTTTTAATTCCGAAGCACTTCTTGCGCAATTCTCAGTTTCAATAATGATCATACTGATCATGCTTTAATATCCCATCTGTTGAACGCCATAATGTAGTGGTGTGTACTTTATAACAAAACATTACAAAAGGTCAAAAGTTTGAATAATGCTTATCTGATATGGCATGGCGTGGCGCGTGGATGTGGTGTGTGTGTTTGTGTGTGTGTGTGTGTGTGTGTGGTCTATTGTGGCGTGGCGTGTGTGTTTGTATGCCGTCGCATGGCGCGTGTGTGTATGTGTGGGACGCGGTGTTGCGTGTATGTGGCGCAATGCGTGGCGAAAGTAACGCGGTGTATTGCGTGTGTGTGCCTGACGTGGTGTGTATCCTGTGTGTGAGTGGCGTGGCATGTGTATGTAAGTGGCGTATTGTGGCGTGGCGTGTGTGTTTGTATGGCATGGCGTGGCGTGGCGTGGCGTGGCGTGGCGTGGCATGGCGTGGCGTGCGCGCGCGTGCGTGCGTGTTTGTGTGTGTGTGTGTGTGTGTGTGTGTGTGTGTGTGTGTGTGTGTGTGTGTGTGTGTGTGTGTGTGTGTGTGTGTGTGTGTGTGTGTGTGTGTGTGTGTGTGTTCGTGTGTGTGACGCGGTGTGTGGCGTACATGTATGTATGTGTGTGACGCGATGTGTGGCGTGTGTTACGCGGTGTGTGGCGTGTGTGTATGTGACGCAGCGTGTGGCGTGTGTTTGTGGCGTGGCGTGGCGAGGCGCGGCGAGGCGTGGTATGAATGGATGGGGAGTGGATGGTTTAGTGTGATGTGGATAGGTGGGTGTGGTTTTGTGTGTTTTGTGGGTATGGATCAATGGACGGATGATGAATGGATGGGTTTGTGTACATGTGGAGTTTATGTGTTCATGTATGTTTGTGAGGTTGTATGTGTGTGGATGGATGTTAGAGTCTTTAGTGGGAAAATATGAAGCAGGTGCGTTTAGGATAACGTGTGTATGCATTTATGCATATTGTATGTTGTTCAAGTGCCTGCGTATTTGTATAAAATAGCCGTGCACATTCAAGTATCTTGGTACGCAACTTTGTGAGTTGAAGGGAGATAGCCATTTTAATGAAGACATTTGAAGCTCTCATAAATCACCCACCGTTTACCATGTGGGATCATGTCTGTGCGCACACTGCTTTTGTTAATGCATATTTGGATTTGTGAACTTTCTGCAATAGGAACACTAATATAGTTTGCATTGGCGGCTATATATTTATCATATTATACATTTGAAGACGGAGAGTTGTCTTTAATCTTGAATATATATTTATTTCAGAGGAATGTCCCATGCTAAATCTGTCTGGAAAAGGAGTAACAAAAGCCGATTGCGCTGTCGAAAAGCATTTCTTATGCAGTCGTAAGTCGAAACATTGGCTTTAATTTCGCTTTGCTTTTAGCACAATAAACACAAACACCATCAGTTGATTGGTAATGATTCATTAAATATTGATCTGTCACAGTGTACAGATCTATGTTTGTATATACCTATCGGTCAACCTTTAATACTTCTTTTAAAATACTAATTCAGCCCTTATTTGTTTCAGCCCCAGAGATAGCGAATATGAATCATGTCATAATGATCGCCGTTGGTGCTTTCACTGTCATCAACATGATTTTAGTCACTATCTGCGTTCTGAGAAGGTACGAGTTTTAATTCTACCTCACGTATAGGCACGTTTGAGCTGAAAGCGCTCGTCAGTTACTGGATTAAGTCTATCCGAGCAAAATGTGTTCATCATTCACTGTTCCGCTCCTTCATATCGAAAGGCCTTCAGCAACATAACGGGATCGGGTAGACAGGCTCGCTGACTTGGTTGATGCATGTTATCGTATCCCAGTTGCGTAGATCGATGCTCATGATGTCAATCACTAAATTGTCTGGTCCAGACCGCCGGCGTATAGCTGGAATACTACTGAATGCGGCGTTAAACAACAAACAAAACATAAATCCCAGTACTTATGTTTCCGTTGGGCCCATGGTCATAATGTAGCACCCCGTTGCTAGTCACTATAGGTAATCAAATCGGAGTGGTCAGCACCCCGTTGCTAGTCACTATAAGTAATCAAATCGGTTTGGTCAGCACCCCGTTGCTAGTCACTATAAGTAATCAAATCGGTTTGGTCAGCACCCCGTTGCTAGTCACTATAAGTAATCAAATCGGTTTGGTCAGCACCCCGTTGCTAGTCACTATAAGTAATCAAATCGGATTGGTCAGCACCCCGTTGCTAGTCATTATGGGTAATCAAATCGGTTTGGTCAGCATCCCGTTGCTAGTCACTATAAGTAATCAAATCGGTTTGGTCAGCACCCCGTTGCTAGTCACTATAAGCAATCAAATCGGATTGGTCAGGACCCCGTTGCCAGTCAGTATGGGTAATCAATTCGGATTGGTCAACACCCCGTTGCTAGTCAGTATGGGCTATCAAATCGCATTGGTCAGCACCCCGTTGCTAGTCAGTATGGGTAATCAAATCGGATTGGTCAGGACCCCGTTGCTAGTCAGTATGGGTAATCAATTCGGATTGGTCAACACCCCGTTGCTAGTCAGTATGGGCTATCAAATCGCATTGGTCAGCACCCCGTTGCTAGTCAGTATGAGCAATCAAATCGGATTGGTCAGCACCCCGTTGCTAGTCATTGTAGGCAATAAAATCGCATTGGTCAGCACCCTGTTGCTAGTCAGTATGGGCTATCAAATCGCATTGGTCAGCACCCCGTTGCTAGTCAGTATGGGCTATCAAATCGGATTGGTCAGCACCCCGTTGCTAGTCAGTATGGGCTATCAAATCGGATTGGTCAGCACCCAGTTGCTAGTCATCATAGGCAATCAAATCGGATTGGTCAGCACCCCGTTGCTAGTCATTATAGGGTATCAAATCGGACGGGGTGGTCAGGCTGTGTGATTGAGCGAATAACGTGTCATCGTGTTTCGATTGCGGAGAACGTTGCTCATGATTTCAGTCATTGGTTTGCCCGGTCCAGACTTCATTGTTTACAGGAGCCTTGATATAGCTGCCATATTACGTTAAGCGGCGTTAAACACCAGTCAGAAAGGTAGTAGCTATATATCCAGTAGATATTAGTATAACGCCCTTTGTCTTGAAATGAAGACGACAAGACCATCGCCACCGAATAATTTTGTATATATAAGACAGGGTGTCTACAGTTGTATAAACTCATTTTAAAAGCAGTTATGTTCATATCCGCTTGTTGAAGTACTTCGGTCCTTCTTTTCGTGTTTCTTTTGAAAATCAGTTACACACATACCCTTCACTCGTTTGTAACTCTAAACAACCGATGAATTTTGTAACGCATCCATTTTTGTCCCAGAGTATGCAAAAGGCGGGCACGTCAACCAAAGGAGAAGAAGCCCAAGTCTACTTCGAAAAAGGATGATGCTAAAGAGGGACGAAAGAAAAAAGACAAACGACAAAAGAAGGACGCAAAGATGACAGATGACTCAAAACAAGAAACTCCCACCGGAGAAACTGGTAAAGCAGAGCCTGAAGAATCGGCCGGTGGCGATGAACAAACTGCAAAAACCACTGCCGTCGTGGAAGGTGGACCGACTGGAACTGCAGATGCTGAACCTACATTGACCACTGCTGCTGCTGCATCATCTGCATCTGCGGATGGAGACGCTGGCAAAGATGAGAAGTTACCTGACCCTCCCGACTTCCTTTTGAAAGACTCGACTTCAGCTGCGGTTACAACTGTTGCAACCGACTCTACTGCAGTATCTGCCATTGTTGTAAGCTCTACAGCTACCGCTGTCTTTACAGCCGGCGTAACTAGTGCTGTTGACACTGGTATTGCGTCAGGCAGCATCACGGCCACGGAAACAAAGGTAGAGGCTGCGAAAGAAGCAGACGAGAAGATGAGCTGTCAGGAAGCGCCTAAGGATGGCCTTGGGCAAACTGATGTCACTTATGCCGAGAATAAACCATCGCTGATGTCTGAAATGGAAGCAATGCTACAGGGGAAAAGCATTGGGAGCAAGCAAGGGGAGGTAACTCCAATCCTACCAACAGGGGAGGTAACTCCAATCCTATCACCAGGGGAGGTAACTCCCATCCCACCACCACCTCCTCCTCCCGAGTAAGCTGTCAAGCAAGATCCCAAAGCAGAGTCTTTAACAACGGGATCATTGTTTTTTCTTAAATTTTCTTGTTCTCATATGCGTTTCCATTTGTCATATTCAATGGCGTCTATATCTAGGCTGAAGAAATAATCGTGCTCACATATGGGGGGAGAGTATCAGTGTCTACATTCAGTCTTTGTTGGCTGCCGTACTTAGAAGTACATTAACTAGCTTTTAGAACGTGAGAACTTGAATTGTAATATGTTGCTTACATCATTTTTTGTTAATGCAAAACGTTTAATAAACAGTTTGAGATCCTTATTTCGAACATTCACATTCTTCTACTTGCAAGTTTATTTTTGTCGATTTGCGCTTCCTTTTCATTGCACATGTATGTTGACATACCTTTTTTATAATCTCGTGTTCCCATTCAAAAGCATGCCCTTATGTTTTCAATGTATACTCAGTCTATTGAAACAATATATTTTGATTGATGAACGGATGATTAATAAAATAAGCACATGATTACGTTCATCTTGTCTTTTGTGATATTTAGGGTAACCATGCTTGTCGTAAGAGGCGACTAACGGGATCGGATAGTCAGGCTCGCGGACTTGGTTGATGCATGTCATCGTATCCCAATTGTGTGGACCGATGCTCATGATGTCAATCACTGGATTGTCTGGTCCAGACTCGATTATTTACAGATCGTCGTCATGTAGCTGTAATATTGCTGTGGCCGGCGTTAAACAACAAACGCAAACGTCACTAACTGAGGGCTTCCAATCGCCTTCACGGTACACTTTATGACAAAAAGTGTTGCACTATTCTGTTATCCCGCGTAAATGTGAAGCACTGATAGTTATTTGTCACACTGTTCGCAACTATTTTAGACGATTAGATTTAGCTTTTATTCCATGTTTAGATCGTTGCTTCCTGCAGTAAGGGTTAATTGCAGGTAACTGGTCCCTATTTTGTGCATACAGTGTGTCTATTTTGTTCCCGTCTAACCACTAAAGATGGTAATTTGCAATCACATATCTTAGTTGGTCAAATCTACACCAAGATTTCGCAAGCAATGTGAAGCCAGAAAGACAAGGGAGACAATTCGTGTTGCTTTATTGAGTTGTGTGGTCCTTCGACTTTATGGTGTTGAAGTGTTGGTAAAATCAGTGTACACCATACGCATTGACTGAATATATGATAGCCTGCCCCTTTCTCGTCCCAATCACCAAAATAAAGCCAATATCATCAAAAACAACGAGAGAATGACAACGAGCATTGTTGCTTGATCATTTAAATCAGCGAAATATATATTTTTGGCTACATACCGAAAATGTTGTCCGGTGCAGCAGACTCTACCCAATCCTTTAAAAAAACACTCGAGCCACTCCCCTCTACCAGGCCCAAAAACTCATTCCAGGCTCAGATCACTCCCCTCTACCAGGCCCAGAACACCCACTCCAGATTCAGATCACTCCCCTCTACCAGGCCCAAAACACCCACTCCAGGCTCAGGTCACTCCCCTCTACCAGGCCCAAAACACCCACTCCAGGCTCAGATCACTCCCCTCTACCAGGCCCATAACCCTCACTCCAGGCTCAGATCACTCCCCTCTACCAGGCCCATAACCCTCACTCCAGGCTCAGATCACTCCCCTCTACCAGGCCCAAAACACTCACTCCTGGCTCAGATCACTCCCCTCTACCAGGCCCATAACACTCACTCCAGGCTCAGATCACTCCCCTCTACCAGGCCCATAACACTCATCCCAGGCTCAGATCACTCCCCTCTACCAGGCCCATAACACTCACTCCAGGCTCAGATCACTCCCCTCTACCAGGCCCAAAACACCCACCCCAGGCTCAGATCACTCCCCTCTACCAGGCCCATAACACTCACTCCAGGCTCAGATCACTCCCCTCTGCCAGGCCCATAACACTCACTCCAGGCTCAGATCACTCCCCTCTACCAGGCCCATAACACTCACTCCAGGCTCAGATCACTCCCCTCTACCAGGCCCATAACACTCACTCCAGGCTCAGATCACTCCCCTCTACCAGGCCCATAACACTCACTCCAGGCTCAGATCACTCCCCTCTGCCAGGCCCATAACACTCACTCCAGGCTCAGATCACTCCCCTCTACCAGGCCCATAACACTCACTCCAGGCTCAGATCACTCCCCTCTACCAGGGCCAAAATACCCACCCCAGGCTCAGATCACTCCCCTCTACCAGGCCCAAAACACCCACTCCAGGCTCAGATCACTCCCCTCTACCAGGCTCAAAACACTCACTCCAGGCTCAGATCACTCCCCTCTACCAGGCCCAAAACACTCACCCCAGTCTCAGATCACTCCCCTCTACCAGGCCCAAAACACTCACTCATGGCTCAGATCACTCCCCTCTACCAGGCCCAAAACACTCACCCACGTCTCAGATCACTCCCCTCTACCAGGCCCAAAACACTCACTCATGGCTCAGATCACTCCCCTCTACCAGGCCCATAACACTCACTCCAGGCTCAGATCACTCCCCTCTACCAGGCCCAAAACACTCACTCCAGGCTCAGATCACTCCCCTCTACCAGGCCCATAACACCCATCCCAGGCTCAGATCACTCCCCTCTACCAGGCCCATAACCCTCACTCCAGGCTCAGATCACTCCCCTCTACCAGGCCGATAACACTCACTCCAGGCTCAGATCACTCCCCTCTACTAGACCCATAACACTCACTCCAGGCTCAGATCACTCCCCTCTTCCAGGCCCATAACACTCACTCAAGGCTCAGATCACTCCCCTCTACCAGGCCCAAAACACTCACTCCTGGCTCAGATCACTTCCCTCTACCAGGCCCAAAACACTCACTGCAGGCTCAGATCACTCCCCGTAAAGCTCAAATCAATCCCCTACACACAGTTTTCTCAAAACGTGAGGCGGAAAACACTTCTGGGCACAAACAGGGCCCGGGTCTCAAATACAATTTTTTATTATCTTTTTTATTTATGAAAAAAAGTAATGTAGTATTTAACGTGACGCGCCAATGGCATAGGAACATGTCGCAGTCAGGTTACAGTTTGAACTACATGATTGTATACGAAGGAGGACATGTATGTATCTACGCTGTCGACGTCGTGAACCACGTTGCAGTTGCAACCCTGATTTTCTTAAATGGAGGACATGGAAAAGGTGGATCAGTCATTGAGGTACCGTAATCCGCAATGCAGAGTTACTTCCCGTTGGCGTCCAAGGATTCTATGATCTTTAGTCCGATTAACATTCTTGATTTGTCAACCCATGGGTTTCGCCAACAACTGAGACCTTCATATTCTCGTACTTCGACAATATTCCTGCTGGTGGACTGGCAATGACTAGGCCGAGCGATAACATAGCCACACCCCAACACCCCCATCCTTCTTCCCTATTTCAAAACGAACATTTTATTAAACGAGTTTTCTTAAACGTTTTTCCTTTACTTATAAGCAGCAGGATCTCTGAACCTGTAAGAGACATAATTAAAAATGAACCTGTCGTATTTAGTTTCAACAAAATCAGTTTCCATCACTTCATTGTCTGGTCTGTTTTTATACCGCCGTCGGCAGGAGTACTACTGCTGAGCGGTGTAAAAGTACACGCGCATCTTATGCAAATTGTGTGAATGGCGAGTGTTACCGGCAGGGCAGGACATGCTTACCCTTTTCGCGAACACCTGGTGTTATCACTTATTTTGAATGATCCATTCATATTTGTTTCATCGCTATTTTGCCTTTACACCAGTTGGAAGCTGTGTCGTCAGATGATCCAGACTGGATATTCTCTGGTTTTGATGTTTTACATTTCTTCCGCCATAATTGTGACACGTCGTGACATAACATTATTCAATTCGGTTCAAAGCGGATTTCGATGTTATACGAGTAAAGTTACAATTAGTTTAAAAGTACTGAACACACGATCAAGGCTAGGATGATATATGATATGACATCATCTCAACTCGTGATATGCAATTTCCGGACACTTCACACGAAGGGTATTTATAATTGAAACACATTCAACATGATATAATAGAATTTCCGGAACACTTAACTCAAGTGTGTGAGTTAGGTTTTAATGCACGGGAATGGTGCGGACAGTCCGATCGGATTCAAACCCACGATTTAGGTCCTTGATTAACGTGCTTACCAGGCAATGGTAGGGGAGACGTGAGTTTGTAGCGGCGCTATTGGAGGTGAGGTGAATGGTTTAACGTCGCGTCCAAGATTATTGCACTTATATGTGTGTGTAAGACTGCTTGCACTAGTCCGGACTAATGCCGATTTATAGTGCCAGCACACTAAGATACCATGCCGCAGTTTAACATGAATACCCCACTCAGACACAGTATACTGACTCCGAGCCGACCAGTCCTTGTCCCTTAATGCCGAGTGCCAGACAGGGTAACAACAAGTACCATCTTTTAACGTCTTTTGGTATGACGCGGCCGGGGATCGAACCCACGGAGACGACCAGTGTTGTTGGAGCTCCAGGAGATTATTCAGCTGGCGAGAACATTACAAGTACAATATCCCAAACGTCTTACATTTCTATGTAAACATAAACAACTAGCTAAAGATGCTGCGTCCAAAACGAACAGAGAGAGAACTTGATGTTTTCCTTAATAGGAACCCAATCAGGCCTTCCCTGGGCATATGGGTAAGTGATTATTGCTTAAAATACGAATGAAAAAAAACATCTTGAATTTAGTCGCGTCGACCTAAGAAATGGATAAATCCTATTTGTGCAGTTACAATTATTAAAAACGACTTAATTAATATATCAAAATGGACATGTTAAATAGATTACACTGGGCTTATATTCCAGCGTTTTTGTAATGCATATTATAGTAACTTCACACAGCATGAGTATCAGTCAGTCATTACTGATACCTGATATTTGATTAGTCCGAGAAGCCATTCAACACGATGCGGTTTCCCAGACTTAGGCATGCACTGACAGGGCGTCCTCGTATTAACACTCACCTAATCAATGAGGTCTTACACTCTCAAATAAAAGCGGAGTTACCGCTACGGTAATAGCGAAAGTCTGTCTTCATTTCCTGACCTGATCCCGAACAGATATTAAGGTTTTAGTGATACAAATCTGTTTTTAATGACGTAAGCTCACTGTTTATCAAATGTATTCACCATGTTCACCGTTATGCGTTCACAATGTTCACCATTATGCGTTCACCATGTTCACTATTATGCGTTCACCATGTTCACCATTATGCGTTAACCATGTTCATCATAATGCGTTCACCATATTCACCAGTATGCATTCACCATTATGCGTTCACCATGTTCACCATAATGCGTTCACCATGTTCACCATAATGCGTTCACCATGTTCACCATTATGCGTTCACCATGTTCACCATTATGCGTTCACAATGTTCACCATTATGCGTTCACCATGTTCACCATTATGCGTTCACCATGTTCACCATTATGCGTTAACCATGTTCATCATAATGCGTTCGCCATGTTCACCATTATG